AACAAAAAAAATTGTTAGCAAGGACATAACAGAAAAACTAATTAATAATGCATGCAGTCCCAGGGGAAAGTTGCAATAACCCCTTTAAGAGCCCAATTTACTGTTGGAGGTATCTGTTTTGGGGAGAGCTGGGAATTTTTTCATCTCTAACTTGTAATAATTGTTAAGAACGATGAAGGGTCTGAGATTTAACACTATCTCCAAACTGACAAGTTAGTTACAGTTTCATAGATTTTGGCAGGAGGCACGAAAGTCCCACATCAGAGGCAAAGGACAGGGTATTCCTCCCAGCAGTGGCAGTAGCCAGTGTTACCACTTGTCCTAGTTCCCCGAGCCCCGTTCCCAGAGTGACAGGAAGGGGTCGATGGCACCTGCACGTGCTGCGGGTGCATCACAAGAGAGGAACCCTGAGCTTAGGCAATGACTCTCTTATAGTGACCCAGGGGAAGCAGTCCCTTCATGATACTAGACAGTGCACTAACCTGCTCTTGGCTCCTGAGAGAGATACTCTCTGCCTTCCAAGGCTGTTTGGGTCTTGAAAAGATACACCAGGACAAAGGCAGGCACTGTCTCCCCTTGCAAGATATACAGAACACGAGGCGCTCCTGGAGAATTGCCTTCCAATAGTAATACACTTCTGTCCCTATTTTCTCAAGGTCAAAGCCGTACAGAAAGCTGCTAGCTCTGCCCATTGGCCCACGTTTGGCTCTCCTCACTCTGGCAGCCCTTCCTGACAACGCCATGGGCAGAGGTGGAGGGGGGGAGGCTGAGAGGCAAGCATAAATGCTTTGGAACTGCAGCTTCACTGGCTGGGAGGATGAGAGGAACCCCGTAGGAAAGTTACCTCAACACTGGCTTGCTCCTTGGTAGCTCACCTGACCCAGGGCCCCCAAAGCGTCTTCCTCTTGCTTCATTTTAACACACAGCTGACAATTCCACTAAATGGATGTTCGTTGCAGCTTTTTAAAAATGTAAATCTCTTGAAGCACTAAGGACTCTTAGGTATTCATACACATGAAATTCGTGTAAGACATGTACCATTTAACAGCTGCGGTGGCAGCCCTGAGGGAACAGCAGTTCTGACTGGCAGGGGAGATGGAGATTGTGAAACCTGGAGCACTTTGGGACATGACAGGACAGAGAAATAACATTGTGGCAGAATTAAAACAATATGAAGTCCCGAGTCCCTAGGTGTCAGGGAAGTTGGGCACCCTACCATGGGAAAAGGTGTGCGAGAAAGAATGGGAAGGCACCGCCCCCCCAAATCCCACTGTCTTCAGATTTAATTTGGAGTTGGCACAGTGTCCAAAGCAGAAGAACATTCCCTTCCTCCTTCTCCTCAACCCCGGGGGCCTCATTCCGTAAATATTTATTGAGTATCTGCTGTCCTGACTGCTGTCTTACTAGTGACACCTCCTTTGTTTCCAGTTTTATGACTCCACGGGTGTGACGAGGTCGGATGAAATGCCATCCCTGCCTCAATAGACCTTGAAGTCCAGTGGGCAAGGCAGACCAGTGAGCCCACGCTTGTACAGTTTAGTAAACACTACTAGAGGGGCATCTGAGTTAGGCAGGCAGGGCCTTATTTGAGGCCCCTGACTTCAGATCTGTGTTGTTAGTTCTACAGTTCACAACAGTGATCTGCTGAAGGAGGTGCTAATTCTTACATACATGGCAGCCCCCTTATCCATGGGGGATATGCTCCAAGCATTGAATGGATGCTTGAGATCACCGAGAGGACTTCTACGTGGTATGGTTTTTCCTATTGTACACACCTATGATAAGGTTAGTGCATAAATTAGGCACAGTGGAAGATTAACAATAACTAGTGATAAAGTGGGGCAATTCTAACAATATACTGTAACAAAACATGTGAATGTTCTCTCTCCCCCTCTCTCAGAATATCTTCGTGTACTGCACACACCTTGCCCCTAAAGCAAGCACTGTGCACCTTCTCTGTGACACCGGAGCCGCAGCACAGCTCTGGCGCTTTGGGTCATTAGGAAGTGAAACAAGGGTGACTGGAACACAAGCACGGCGATGCCTCCCTGCTGAGTGGCCCCGGGGCAGGGTCTGCAGGTGGACACCTGGACCAAGGATGATCCCGTCCAGGTGACACAGAGCAGGACTCGTGAGATTTCATCACTCCCCTCAGCAGGGTGCCCAGTTGAAAACTGGCCCAGAGCATATGTTCTCAGATGCCACCCCACACTGTCACTGTGGGAGCCATTAGGAAATGTAAGCATCACTGACAACTTTTCCCCCCTCTAATACAATAAATGTGGAGTCCCAAACTTCTAACTCAGAAAGCAATTTTCAAAGTACTTGTTTTAGGTTAGAAAGCTTGCTCTGTACAAGGATTACAAGCGTTAGTGATGCTGTTTATAGGACACTGTAAACTGTGTGAGAGGCACTGGACTGAATTACTCCATATACTATATAGTAAGTAGAGGGATCCTCTGTTTTCAGGTTTAATTGTTCTGATATGCAGCATTTCCCATCTTACTAGTTTATGTTGCTAAGAACATTAATTACTTAAGTTTACCTTAAAAAGCAAAGAATCAAGATGATAAGAAGACAGCCCTGGCCCATGTGGGTCAGTAGTTAGAGCATCAGCCCAAGGACTGAAGGGTTGTGGGTTCAATTCTGATCAAGGCCACCTACCTCAGTTGCAGGCTCGATCCCTGCCCCACTCTTCCCTCCCTCCCTTCCTTTGAAAAGCATTGGGAAAAATCTCCTCAGTGAGGATTAACAACAACAACAACAAAGCAGAGACTCAAGAGGATAAAAAGACAAGCCACAGACTAGGAGAAAATCCTCCTATAATAAAAGGCAATATGCAAATTGACCAAGTGGTGGAATGACTGGTTGCTATGATGTGCACTGACCACCAGGGGGCAGCCACTCAATGCAGGAGCTGCCCCTTGGTGGTCAGTGCGCTCCCACAGGAGGAGCCCCACTCAGCCAGAAGTCAGCTCACCGTTGGTGAGCACAGCGGTGGTGGCAGGAGCCTCTCTCGCCTCCACAGCAGCACTAAGCATGTCCCACTGCTGGTGTAGGCCTGAGAGAGAGAGAGAGAGAGAGAGAGAGAGAGAGAGAGAGAGAGAGAGAGAGAGAGAGAGAGAGAAAGTGCTGTTATTCAAAGTATTCAAAGCACTCTTAAAACTCCGTTAATAAACAATCAACCACATTGGGTCCCGGGTTCAATTCCGATCAAGAGCACATATCTTGTTTGTAGCTCCTCCCTGGCCCGGGCCCTGGTCGGGACTCGTGCAGGAGGCAACCAATTGATGTATTTCTTTCACATCAATGTACCTGTCTTTCCTTCTCTCTTCCACTTTCTCTAAAAAAATTAAGTAAATCAATTCAGCGCTATGGGCTGAACTGTGCCACCCACCCCGCTTACAAACTCTTGTGTTGAAGTCCTAACCCCCAGATCCTCAGAATGTGATTATATTTGGAAATGGGGCCTTGGAAAGGGTAAGTTAAAAATAAGGTCATGTTGTGGGACCTAACCCCATAAGAAAATAAGATGGGGACACAGACACAGAGGGAAGGCCAAGCAAGGGACAGGGAGTAGCCATCTACGAGTGAAGCAGAGAGGCCTCGGAAGAAACCAACCCTACTACCATTTGGATCCAGGACTCCCAGCCTCCGGAATTGTTAGAAAATAATTGTCATTTAAGCCAGCCAGCCTGTGATGCTTGTTATGACAGCCCCAGTAACTGGTCCAGCGTGCAGGGAGAGACCCTGTGGCTGTAGGCTTCCTTGCAGAGCAGCTTGTCAACTTATTAACATAGAACCTGTAGCCTCCCCGAATCCACTCAGCAGACATGTACTGAGCGTGTACTAAGAGTGGGCTGCACATTACATTATCAGATGCTGAGCTAATGTCAAAGGCAAGAAAATGAGCCCCCAACCAGCTGGAAGGAAATAAGGTCCCGAACCATCCTCATGGAGGTCACAGCCTGAAGAGGAGCCAGACACATAGGGTCATTTCAATACCATGTGGCCAGTCAATACAGTGAGGACCAGGGGCCACGTGAACTCCACTGACACATCGAGGGGTGTCAGCTGAGAGCACGTGGCACCTGGGTCTTTAGGGAAAGTAGAACTGTGCAGGTGGAGGCCGGAAGAGAAAGTAACATGAATGCCACAGACGAAGGCAGGGGCGTGGGGAAGCGTCCAGAAGGCCAGGCAACGAGTGAAAGGCTCAGAGACCAAAGTTAGGATGTGGAATTTGGGAGGATGGGAGAGGAGATGGAGAATGAGGTCAGACCAGGAGTGCTGGGAGGCCAAATATGGATGTCAACCTGAGCTGTTTCCAGAGGAAAGTCAGGATCAGATGAGCTGGAGTGTGGCCTGGGAGCAGTGAGGAGAATGGAGAGCACAGAGAGGCGGGTTGGGGGCGATGGGAGCCAGAACTGAGCACAGACTTGCTTTAGAGATATTAGGATACGGGTGAGGGGGGTGCCCCTGGGGAAAAATGCTTCCTCTGTAAGGTACCAGATGTATTGTTTTCTTCTCTATCAGGTGGGTAAATTACATTGCTTCCTTAAGCACACAGACTCATTAGCATCTGAATAAAACACAGAATGTTCCAGTTACTTTAAAGGAATTAAGTTTTGTTTAAATTTGGAAGAACTGCTCTTCAAAGAAATACGGTAAAATTGGCCACAATAAAAAATGAGTATCTTTTTATTTCATCACAGCACGTCTAGTATTTCTGTGAGTCTTCCAAGTTGGACTTGCTGGAGAGCTGCCTACTCGAGGCAATAGGAACTTTGCAAAACTGGGCCTAGTCTGAGTCTCCCCACCAGCTGCCTTGTTTGTTTCCTCAGTCTCTCTAGGCCTCTGTTTCCTTATTTCTAGAATGAGGATAAGTTCCTTGATCCTTAAGACTCTTTCGGACTAAAATGCCACGAGTCTTTTCTTCTAGAATAAATACTGTTCTTGTATTTTAAAATGCTTTGTTTTTTATTTTTTTGGTTTGGTTTTAAAAGGACTTCAAATTTTGCTGGAAAATCTTCATCGGAAAGTATAGATAATCCTGTCTCATGCCTCTGAGATTCATTTAAAAAACAAAACAAAAAACACCCACAACCCAAAGCATCGTGCGCATTGAAAACACATATCGCCACTCCCGGGTCCAGAGGCCCTCGGACATGTACTTGAACTCTGCGGGTTCCACTGAGTCTCAGAGTGAGGAGCAAGGAAAAGTGCGCTCCATAGTCGATGGGTGAACAGGCTGCAGGACAGTGAGCCGCTCGCCAGCCGGTTTCTCTCCTTCCCAGGAAACTGCAGGGGAGGGTGTGGAGCCTCTGGAAGGGGTGGCAGGGGAGGGCGTTTCTCTGACCTCCTGCCTCCCACCTGCTGGCCCGGCTCCTCTCCAGCGCCCAGTCGGAGGAGTCGGTCCCCCGCCCCCTCCAGCGAGCGATGCTGTCGGAGCCGGCGCGGGCCGCGGAGCAGGCAGTCCCGGCGCCCAGCTCGGCCCCGGGCTGAGTCCTCGCAGCCGCCGCCGCCGAAACTGCAGCCGCGGCGGGTGGATGGTGGGCGGCGGCCTGGACTCCAGTCTCCGGCCGCCGGGCGCGGGGCCGCGCCGCGGTCTCCTCTTCGCTCCGCGTCCGGGGCTGCGCGGGGCGCGGGAGGCGGGCGGGGGGCGCGGCGGGGAGACGGCGCGGCGAAGGCGGAGGCCGGCGGCTGGCGTCCCCCCGCTCGGACCGCGGCCGACGCGATGTCCACCAAGGTCAAGAAGTGCAAGGAGCAGGCGAGGGTGACCTTCCCTGCGCCCGAGGAGGAGGAGGAGGAGGAGGAGGAGGAGGAGGAGGAGGAGGAGGAGGAGGAGGACGTGAGCGCCGAGCCGCAGCGCCGCCGGCGCGGCTGGAGGGGCGTCAACGGGGGGCTGGAGCTGCGCTCCGCGACCTCGTCGCCGGAACCGCACGGCCGCCGCCCGCCGCCCTGGTCTCCGGAGCCCGATCTGTAAGTACCGGCCGCAGCGGCCCGGAGGGAGGCGCCCGCGCCATCCCGCGACGTGCCCGGGACCTCAGGCCCGCCGGCACGGGGCCCGCTCCCTGGGGGACTTCCGGGCGCGGACGGCACGGGGGCCCTATCCCGGCCGCAGCGCGCGGACCTGCCCCGGAGCCGGCCCCGCGGACGCCGCGCGGTTCTCAGCCGAGGCCGCTCCCTCTCCGCACCGAGCGCCGGGCGCCGGGGGCCCCTGAGGGGGGGCGGGGGTGGTGGTGGTGCCAGGTGCGCTCTGACCAGGGCGCGCCTCCGGCTCGTCCCTCGTCCCGGCGTGAGCCACGGGGATCGCGGGTCCCCTCGGAGGCTCGGCCGTCGTCGGGGCGAAGGGAGGGGACCGTGTGCGATGGAGATGGTGGACGGTGTGCCCGGCCCGGGTTTCTCGACGGCCCGCTCCCAGGGAGCCTGCAGCCTGAGCGCAGCGGCCCCGGAGGGCGGCGGGAGGCTGGGCTGCCCCGGGCGGCCGGGGTCCGCAGCGGCGCCTCCCCAAGGAGGCGGAGGGCAGCGCTCAGGGTCCGGAGAGCAACTTCGCTTCATGCCCGGGTCTACGAGGCGCAGAGAGTGAGGGAGAGCGCGACTCCTTTTACAGGGCGCGGGCTCCCAGGTCTGCTGTCACGTACCCTGGGCGTGTCGCGGGGTTTACTGTCTTTTTAAGGAAGAACCTCAGATCTAGGTGGGAAGCGAGGGTCCGAGGGCCCCGGCCCGAGGAGGTGGTTCTGCAGCGCCTCCTGCTGCCGAGGGCGACCGGCTGCCCGGCCTCGGCCCGGGGGCCACCAGGACCTACCAGCCATCCTAGAAATGGACATCAGAGCTGGCAGCAGGTGCCAGGGAAGGCTGCTGCTTTAAATGAGCGCCTGTTTCCGATGTGTTCAGTTGTTGCTGAAGATGGGCCTGCAGTGGACGCGGGCGGCCCAGGAAGTGGAGGGAAGTCCAGGGATCCGTTGCAATTCAAGCAGCGCCAGCTCCCCTCCCTGCCTCCCTGTGGTTTTAGACATTTTTCCTTTTGTCCATTTGGGTTTTAGAACCCTGCTCAATTTCTTGATTCTTTAAAACTAAATTGGACACCTATTAGAGCACTCTTAGCAGAGAAAGTGGGGCGGAACAGCTTCTCGCTCTGCCTTTCCAAGTTGGGGGTCGATAACCCAAGCATCAGGCAAGCGCCGCTGCAGACTGACTGTCGAACTGCTAATGGAACATTTTCTATCTGCGGGGCGTTTAGTACACAACTCAACAAGCAATGTTGTGCTGTGCTTATTCCTAAAGCGGGTGGGAAGACGGGGTCATTTTAAGGAGATAGACATTAAGAAACATTTGTTCTGGAGGCAGGGCAGCCAGCTCTCCGTGTTTATTTGAGGCCTGTGACTGTGTAACGTCAGAGCGGACGTTGATATCTCCAGCAGAGATTAGCTCTTTATTCTAACTGAGTAGAACATGCCCAGTTTCAGAGCTCAGGGAACAAACAAGTCCTAGGATGGAATCGGAGCAGGATGGCCCCAGGACACCCTCCGGAGGCAGAATAGAAGGGCTGCTGAGGGTGGAACCACTTCCACCAAGAAGACTCCTCGGGGCAGTCCTGGGGTTCATTTCGCTGTCCATGCCCCAGGAGGCTGTTTGGAATTAAAAAAATAATAATAATAAATAAATAAATAAATATATATATATATATATATATATATATATATATATATATATAAATATATATATTTAATTAATTTCAGAGAGGAAGGGAGAGGGAGAGAGAGACAGAAACATCAATGATGAGAGAGAATCATTGACCGACTGCCCCTGCATGACCCCCACTGGGGATGGAGCCCACGACCCAGGCATGGGCCCTGACCGGGAATTGAACTCCTACCTCCTAGTTCATAGGTCGATGCTCAACCACTGAGCCATGCCGGCTGGGCTGTTTGGGAATTTTAAACACACTTATTTAGCAGGTAGAATGACATCTGTTATATCACTAACAAGACTTTAAAAAAAAAAAAAACTTTGATAGAATTCTTGCTTCAACCAGCGATTCAAATGGAAACTTCCTTTATCTTAATTATTTGCCAACCTAGGGCCAAGTAATATATCATTGGCAAGATGACCTCATTTGGTTGTAATATAGCTGATAAACTCCAAAAAGGCATTTGAAGGCATCCTCATGAATTTCAATTCAAAGTTATTTTTTAAGCATTTTTATGTGCAAAGTGCAAGCTAAGAACAGCAAGCCACAAAGATGACTGTGACAACTTGTGTGCAGTCAAGAAAGAAATTTAAAGTCTCATGAGGGAGAGGTAGAAATAAAGCTGATCATAAGCAATGATGCTATAAGTTAGAGTAGAATAAGGAACATAAACACACAACATGAATAAGGATAGAGCTATGTAGGGTCAAGTGCAAAGGAGAGATGGACAACTTAAGGTTGTGGAGAAATTGAGGAAACCTTTGTGGGCCTTAGAAGATTGCCTGGCAGTGTTGTCCAGTGGTTGAGCCTCACACATAAACCAGGAAGTCACGATGAGATTCCTGGTCAGGCACATGCCCCAGTTTCAGCTGGATTCCTAGTACAGAGTGTGCAGGAGGCAGCCAATCAATGATTCTCTCTCACCATTGATGTTTACATTCCTCTCTCCCTGTCCTTTCCTCTCTCTGAAATCAATAAAAACGTATTTTAGAAAAAGATGCATAGGCTATGAGGCAGAGACAGAATGGATAATTACTTCAAGCCTTCTCTCTTCCCCAAATGCCAGGCATGTCTAGGGAATTTATTAGAGTTTGGTTGGAACATAGATATGTGTAGGAAAACTGTGAGATGTAGCTGGATGTGCTGGTTTGGGACATTAATGTGGAGGATCCGAATGCCAGAAACAAGCAATAGGAAGTTATTGATTGTTTCAAAGCAGCAGCAATTTGATCAAAGCCACTCTGAGAGCAGGATGGATTGAAGCAGCAATTGGCAGACTGAATAAATAAATTAGGGGTATTGTGGCTATCCAGGCTGAGTTTAGGGGCTGTAACTGTGTGGTGCTGATGGGATGGAAAGAAGAGAGATGAGGAGGGAGAATACAGGTAGAATCTTTGGGAATTTGCAGCTAACTGCTTTCTCCATGGTTTATAGAAAAGCTGGGTGGGAGAGGACTTGGTGATTTAAACCTAGATAACTAAGAGATTAGTAATGTTGTTGGAAAGAAAAGAACAAAGAGGCAAACAGAAAGATGGAAATGCAAGTTTAAAGCTCAGAGAATCTGAGAGTCTACTTAGTATCTGAATGGAATGGTTACAGAGTATGTGGTGTCACCGAAGAAGAAATGTGATGGAAAAACAAAGGGAGTCTAGGCTCTCTTATCTCAGGGAAAATATTTTATGAGAGGAAAGAGAGAGTAAGAGAGAGAGAGAGAGAGAGAGAGAGAGAGAGAGAGAGAGAGAGAGAGAGAGAGAGAACGATGAAGGGGTTGGTGGTACCAAGGCCAGGCTGCCTAGAGAGAGAAGAGTTTCAAGAAAAGGGAAGAATTGACCCACAATTGTCAAATACTCAATAAACCAAGAGGGGAACTTAGGAGTCTGCTCTGGAAGGAGGATCGGTCTGTGGTGGCACAGGGGCACAGACCCTAGGTCTCTGCAGTGCTGTGTTCACGGAGAAAGACATCTAGTAGAGAGAATTCCATTTAATTTTTCTTTGGAGGAAGTACTTTCCTAATAAAAGCAGTAATTTGTGTTTATATAATGCTTCAGGCTGTCATTTATTCTCACTAACTTGAGCACACCTCTTTAAAGCAGGTTTTATCATCTGGAAAGGAGAACATTTGTACACAGAGAATAAAGCCATGTTCTAAGGGTCACTAGGCAGATGAGCAGCTTCTGCATTAAATACAGCCGTCAAGCTGGCCGTGGGAGCTCTGCACTTGCCTCTCCTATAGCTTTGCTTCCTTTGACCAACATCTCCTCACAGTTCCTACACTTGAGCCACTGATCTGCTCTCTGTCCCCGAGTACCTGATGCTTTCAGAGTCCACACGTGAGTGAGATCACACAGTTTTCCTCCCGTGTGTCTGGCCTATCGATATAACCATGACACTGTTGTTCAATGCTGAGTCAGCTGGCCTAGTAAGATTGCATTTCTTTTTTAATTACTTGTTTTTCTTGGAGTAAATATTGGTCTCATATGTTCTTGCTTCCTTAGCTACATCTTCTGCAGCCTCTGTATGTTTTCTGGATACATCCTTTCTGAAACCCTCTGACTTCCTATGAATGTTGTTTTCAATTATTCTTTTTCTTCAGGAAGCTTTTAGGGAAAATAAAAAGAATTGTTTCTTCATTAGTGCTATTCTGAAATTTCAGGATGATATGCCTCAGTGTCAGCCTTTGTTCTTTTTTTAATTTTTTTTTATTGTTGACCCTGTTACAGATGTCCCCCACTTAATCCCCCTCCCCGTTAACCCCCCTCCACCCAGCCCCTGCCACTCCCGCCCAGGCCTCACCTCACTATTGTTGTGTCCATGTTCTTTAGCTGATCTCTTCCAGTCCTCCCTATTTGCCTTCCCTCTAAAATGGTTCCATATATTCATGCCTCTAGTCCTATTTTGTTCATCAATTTTTTTGTTCATTAGATTCTACATATAAATGAGATGGGTCTTTTTTCATTACGTGAGCTGGACACTTGATGAACCTTTTCCGTCAATCCGTCAACTCCTCTCCTTTCTGTCCTCCTCTGAAGATCATGCTCTATAGTCTGGGAAGTTTTCATTTATTATTTCTGTTATTATTTCCTACCCACTATGTTCAGTCTATCTTTCTAGAATTCCTATTATTTGGATGTTGGATCTCCTGGACTGATCTCTCCTCATGTTTTCCAACGCTTCTCTTTTCTGTTCTTCTTCCTCAAATGTCCCCTTCAGAGACAAAGAAACACTGAACAGGCTTTCTAACCTCAGAGAGAAGGCAGGGGAGGGGCGAAGGTAAGAGATCAACCAAAGG